TCGTCCGCTCACTGGCAGGATAGAAGAGAAAACCACCTGGGCTTAAAGGAGTTATTGAACTCCTTTAAGTTTTGGACTCCTTGTGTGCATGTGGAGATGGTGCTTTCTCACCTCAGAAGGCTGAAATAAAGATAAATTAATTTGTATAAAGTACTTTGAATTTAAGAAGAGCTATACTAGTGTTCAGTATTATCAGCAGAAGAATAATTATGGGATTCATTTGTCTTGAGGTTTAAGCCCGATTTATAGCTAAATGATTTTTTTTTCCAAATGTAAATCTTTTTATAACATAAATGTCTTGAAAAAGCTCTTACGTTTTTCAAAACTACAGTGTATATTTATATTCAGTTTTTGTACTAGTATGTATGGAAGTGCTGTTGTGTTCCTGTTCAGTATTCAGACTGGCAGGTCCCCACCACCTTTGTTGAAGTAAAATATGTATGTACTTGCAGTTATTATAAATGTCATTGCTGTTTTTGTTTAGAAGCGACTTCTTTGTTGCTTGGGTATTTTGTTATGCTTTATTCTTTAGCAATATCTCATTATGCACATGCAGAAAAGAGTTTCTGAAAGTGGGGAGCTCCTAAGTATTCACAGCATGCCTTAGGGAAAGAATTCCAGATTACAGTTGTAAATGGCTTAAGCATTGGCTCCCTTCCAGTCTTGTCATTACAGTTCCCCATTTTTCAGGTGAGTATGTGTCTTTGTTTCTGAGTTAGAACTGTATATTAAGCAAGTAAGTTTGTTTTATGACTTCCCCACCCTGAAAAAAAAGCCATTCAAAATATTCTAACTATTGCTTTATCCCAATTTTTTTTTCTGAATGGAAACACTGTGCATGTACTGTGTGATCTACTTTGTTAGCACATTTACTCCTCAAGCCTAAAAAGATGCATGCCTTGTCTGATACGAAGAGCTTGTGCTTTTGCAAGTAGAAGAGGAAGAATACAGTCAAGTTGTTAGTTCTAGCTGTCCTGTTCTTTTGTCTCTACTTTTACACTGATATGGTTTTAGTTACATATTTCTTTTCCAGCACTTGAGCCTATACACATTTTTAATCAAACTATTCAGCACGTGCTAAAAACGTGCTTGATTTGATGTTGAGTTGGGTGTATGGGACAGGTCTTTTAAAAATGGTCACACCTCTGCATTCTTCTATTCTGTCTAAACATGCATTTATTCCCACAGCCCTCCATT